AGAGAGAGAGAGAGAGAGAGAGAGAGAGAGAGAGAGAGAGAGAGAGAGAGAGAGAGAGAGAGACAGAGAGAGATGAGCAGGAGGATTTCAGAGATGGTGACGTGGCATAGGAGGAGCTGGAGATGGGAACCTGACCAGGGAGGACAATGAACTTGAATGAAGTTGCCGAACATGGAGGCAAACTGCCCCGCAGACGGGCCTGGGTATTGCGCAAAGTTACCCACCCGGTATGGAGGGTGAACCGGGTAAAACAGGGTGCAGGCCCAGACCCCAATGATGCAGTCCAGACTGCAAATTTGCACATGTGCCTGGCAGGGGCAAAACACAAAGAATTAGGCCCAAAAGGGCATTCCGCTTTACCCACATCTTTTAGGGGAATTTTGACATATATCTCAACTTATAGGGGTATTTCGCAAATTATCCCTTTTTGTATTGTTTTTTTTTCCACCACGAATTAGTCAATGATTATTAAAAAATACAAAGGGAAAGGAAATGCCCTTCCAACTTTTGTTTATTTGTGGTTTGCCCCTCTGATGGCCGACTTACCCTGTCGCACCCCTCTGACAATGATTGACTACCATTTATTTGCGGTATGCCCCTCAGACTGTCGACTTACCCTGCCGTGCCCCTGTGGCCTCTGAAGTTTCCTGTGGGCCCCTGTCAGTGACGGGTGCGACTTTCCGGCATGCCCCTATGGCCGTTGGTGGCACTCACGGCCATTCCCCTGGCCCTGGGAGGGGAGCTACCGGGGCATACTGGAAATTTGGAACCAGTACCGGTAGGGGCATATGGAACACATTTCAGGCCCAAATGACACCAGGAGTTTTTCGGAAACTTCAATCGTTGTCAGAGGGGCGCAACACGGTAAGTTGGCCGTCGGGGAGGGGCATACCCGCAAATACATGGAAGTCGGAGGGGCAAATCCCAAAAAATGATAAAATCTGCGTTGCACCACAGCAATAATCTGGTCTGGGAGTACATCTCCTGATTTCCTTGTTTTTATTTTCCTTGTATGTTTCTGTTTTTTCTTTTTTGAGGGGAAAATTTCGAAATGCCCCTCCGACTTCCATTTATTTGCGGTATGCCCCTCCGATGGCGCGCCCTTTTGACAAGGATTGAAGTTTCCGAGAAAACCCTGGCGTTGTTTGGGCCTGAACAACGTTCGATATGCCCCTACCGGTACCAGTTCCAAATTTCCAGTATGCCCCGGTAGCTCACCTCCCAGGGCCAGGGGAACAGTTAGTGCCTCCAACAGCCACAGGCGCATGCTGGAAAGTTGCAGCCCTCACTGACAGGGGCCTGTAGGAAACGTCAGAGGCCTCAGGGGCACTACAGGGTAAGTCTGACATCGGAGGGGCATACTGCAAATAAATGGAAGCCGGAGGGGCATTTCGAAATTTTCCTTTTTTCAAAACATGGTATGTGGGTTGAAACGCATGAGATCGTCATTTTCCCCCATTTTTTTCCCTTGTGGCTTGAAATGCATGAGATCGTCGGGGAAAAAAAGGGGAAAAAACGGGGAAAAAAAAGCGGCGGGGGGGAAAGGAACAAAAAGCAATTAAGCACAGTGTAAAGCTCAGAAACGCATGAGATCGTCCCAAATCTGCGGCGTTGACGTCATCAACAATCTTAGCGGAATTAATCAAACAGCTTTACTGCTCTTCTCTCCCTTCTCCTACCTCTTCTCCTCCTCTTCCTCCGCGTCCTCCTCCTGCTCCTCCTTTCCGTCCTTTTTCCTGCGTCTTTTGGCGCTCCTCCGCCCTACTTCTCCTCGCACTTCCTCCCTTTTTCCCCTCCTCCTCCTCCTCCTCCTCCTCCTCCTCCTCCTCCCCCCTCTGTCCACTCTCGGGAAACTTCGAATAATTCGGACAGCCAGACGCTCGCAGTTTTTTTATTTATTTTTTACACAATTTCGACCATTTCTTGATTCATGCGGTGCATCGTTGGGCAGGGGCCATGCTAATCTTCTTTCTCTCTTTAAAAAAAAAAAAAAAAAAAAAATCTTCTTTCTCTCTGTGTCGTTCCAATTGTAACGGATGCCTCGAACGATTCCCCCCCCACCCCCTTTTTTTTTCCTTATTTCTTTTGTCCCGAAGGATTTTCATGCTTGCAGTATTTTCGTCACGGAGATTCATTTCCTTGTTTATTTTTGACGGATGAGGGYTTTTTTTTTTTTTTTTTTTTTAGGCACCTGCTTGTCTTTCTGAATGGCACTATTAATAAACAGATCTTGAGTTAAAATTCTACAGGATAATATTGATAGAAACGAGTCCCATTCTTTAAAAAAAAGAAAAAAAAAAGAAAAAAAAAAAGGAAAAAAAAACGAAAAAAAAAAAAACGAGTCCCGTTCTTTTAGAAAGAAAAAAGACAAAAGAAGTGCTTTCAGCCTTTTGTATTATTAAGTACAAAAAATGACGGAATTACTGCAAAAGAGATTGATGATCTGCATTGCGCCACAGGGGCGAGGTCCCACTAGCAAAGAGGATGATTGGATGAAGCGCCTGGATCTGGATGGGTTTTGAGTAGAGATGCAGAAAAGCAGTTCAATCGCGATGGTCTGCAGCTGTCCACAAACGCGTCCACATTCAGGCGTTGAATCCAATCCTGTTTGCTAGTGGGACCTCGCCGCAGGAATAAGTGGCTTTGGGAGCACATCTGGTCGATATTCTGGCGAATTTGTTTTTCTTTCTTTTCCCGGGCGATTTTTTTTCTTACCCTCCCCGCGTGTGTGTGTGTGTGTGTGCGTGTGTGTGTGTGTGATATTTGAGTTTGGCCATGCTTGTCTTTCCCCTTCTTCTACCCGCCGACCACTCAGCAAATTAAAAGTCAATATAAAACCATGGCGGGTGTACCTGGCCACGTTGTAGGCGGATGTGCATTCTCCATTATGCACATTTGGTGGCGGCGAGGCCCTTTCTTGACGATGAGGGAGAATATGCATGAGATCGTCCCAAATCTGCAGCGTTGACGTCATCAACAATTTTAGCTCAGCTAATCAAACCGCTTCAGTGCTCGCCTCCACATTCTCCTCCCTCTCCTCTTCCTCTTCCTCCTCCTCCTCCTCCTCCTCCCCTTCCTCCTCCTCCTCCTCCTCTCCCCACTCCTTCTTTCCGTCGGTTCCTGCGTCTTTCGGCGCTATCCTCCTCGTCCTCCTCCTCCTCCTCCTTGTTCTCCTTACTTCTCCTAGCACTCCTCTTCCTCCTCCTCCTCCTCCTCCTCCTCCTCCTCCTCCTCCCCCTCGTCTCTCCCCCACTTTTCCACCCTCGTATTCCTCCTTTCGCCCTCTTCCTGCTACCTCTTCCTCCTCCTCCTCCTCCTCTTTCTCCTCCCTTCTCCTCTCTTCCTCCGTCCTCCGTCCTCCGTCCTCCTCCTTCACTTCATGCGCTTCACCCTGTTGACGTCACCATCCCCTCGCCAACCATCACCACTCTATTACTAATTAATTACTATTATCATTCTTTCTCACTACCATTCATTACCCTCTACCACCACCAACCATGACGATCATGGGGACCAACGACTACTACGACGTGCTTGGCATCACTCGCAATGCCTCTCTGGATAATATCAAGGATGCGTTCCGAGAACTTTCCTTGCGCTATCACCCAGATCGACAGCCGGGGGACACCGTCGCCCTCCAGATGTTCTACGAGGTCTGCGAGGCGTACGATGTGCTGAGCGACCCTCAGCGCAAGGCTTATTACGATCAGTACGGCGAAGAAGGGTTGAAGATTGGCATAAAAGACGAGTATGCCACAGTGGTGGGGGGGGTTTACCAATGGCAAGACGAGAGGGCTTTCGACATTTTCATCGAATTTTTCGGCACTAATAATCCGTTCCAAGCGCTGCTTGATCGCTCGATTGCCTTCGATCGCTTGGCCAGGAAGAAGCCGCCGAAAGTGGGGAAGACTCTGAGTTACTTCTTCGAATGTTCATTGGAGGAGATATTCCATGGCTGCGTGAAGAAGATCAAGCATTTGAAGAAAATCACGAGGCGTGAACGACAACAACACCTAGGTGGAGGAGGAGGAGGAGGAGGAGGAGGAGGAGGAGGAGGAGAGAGAGAAGACGAAGAAGGGGAAAGAATGGTCGTCGAGGAACAGCTGTTGACTTTGACTGTGAAGGTTCAACCAGGAGCCAGATCGGGAACGAGATTCGTGTTCCAGCATGCAGGGGATGAGGACCCGTACACTGAAGCTGGGCAGGTGATTTACGTGATGAGAGAGAAGCGACATGAGATTTTCAAGAGAGAGGGGGACGACCTCGTGTACACGGCCACGATCCCGATGCACAAGGCGTTGGGCGGGACCACTGTCGAGATCGCGACACTGGATAACAGAGTGCTAAGCATTTTGGCACCGGGAATCATTCAGCCGGGGCACACGAAGGTGATAAAAGGGGAGGGCATGCCCGTCTACGATCCCGACTTCAACGCCACGGGAAGCGTGCAAACACACAAGCTGAAGAGAGGGGACATGAAGGTGGTGTTCGATTTACTGTTCCCAGGGCACCTGAATGACACACAAAAAATGCTGCTGAAAGCGGCGTTCTATTTCCCGCAAAATCCAACTGCATCGCAGAAGGAAGCAGTGAAGGCGTACCTGGATGCCTACAAGGACGAGTTCTTTGGCTGGGCTCATGGAATACCTAGAACCAATGGTCTCGAGACTGAAACATCCTAATCTCTCTCTCTCTCTCTCTCTCTCTCTCTCTCACACACACACACACACACACACACACACACACACAAAGAGGCAGAATACTCTCTCTCTCTCTCTCTCTCTCTCTCTCTCTCTCTCTCTCTCTCTCTCTCTCTCTCTCTCTCTCTCTCTCGCTAGGCAAGCATTGTCTTGAAATCTTCGTAGTCTACATAGCCTGTTCCATCTTTATCGATCTCGCGGATGAGCTGATCTATGTCAATCGTAAGACCAAACTCCTTGACCATGTTCTTTAGCTTTTCGGTGGATATGACACCAGATTTATCAGGAGATCCTCCCAATGCGACAAACGCTTCGATCGTGTCTGTCTCGTCATCCATCGCTGCCACTTTTTTCTTCTGATCTTCGATGATCATCAGGAACTCCGAGAACCCGATTCCTCCTCGGCTGTCTTCCGTTTGCACCTGGCTTACCATCATGAACAACTCTTCATCTGTCGGATTCTGTCCCAGAGCCTGCAAGGCTAGCTTCAACTCCGTGATTCCGATATAACCGCTCGTCTCCTTGTCGAAGCGAACAAATGCTTCTCTACATGCATCAATTTCCAACTGCGTCAACATTGTTATCACTGTTACTTCTCCTCTCTCTTTTGGATTGAATAATCAACAATCAGCTGACTCAACTTATCAGCCAGATCACGCGGCGCTCGTCTTTTTTCACATCAGCTCCTGTTGTCCCCCCTCATTAACGGGAGGCAAACCTCAAATCTACACAGATCACCAATGTCGTTCTTGGGACAGGCTTTTTTGTGTTTCTCAGGTCCATCTATCGACTTCAAATTAGGATGAATCTAACCATCTTAACCCGATTTTGCTGCATAAACAATTCAAGAACAAGACCAGTTGGGTACGATGGTTAAGAACATTGTTTCTCAGGTGCATCTATCGACTTCAAATCAGGATGATCGTCACGCGATTTTTTCTTTTGAAGTAAACCCCAAAAGAAAAAACTTAACCAAAAAGAACAGAAGACGACTCGGCTGTAATTATCTGTGAATTATTGTTTTGTTTTTGTAGGGGAGTGTGCGCGTTTTCTAAGACTCTGTGTACATGCGCATTCCCTTGGAAAGATCGCGATGCATGTATGGAAAGCAGTTTTCCATTGGTTGTCACTATTCTTCTACTTCTTCTACTTCTTCTTCTTCTACTTCTTCTTCTACTTCTTCTACTTCTTCTTCTTCTTCTTCTCAGTGTGAGGGGAGGAAGAGGAGGGGAGGAAGAGGAGGGGCAGAGGACAAGGAGGGAGGGGGAAGGAGGTCGAGGAGGAAGAGGACGAGGAGAGGAAGAGGGGCAGAGGACGAGGAGAGGAAGAGGAGGGGCAGAGGACGAGGAGAGGAAGAGGAGGGGCAGAGGACGAGGAGGGGCAGAGGTCGACTGAAAGCTCGTTCAGTCGACACTACTTCACGAGTAGCTTTCAGTGTCGGTACACAGCGCTACAATGATCGTACGTTCTATTCGGGGGAAGACGGTAGCGCTGTACAAGGAAACTCTGCGCGGCGGCGGACTGAACGAGCATAGTTAGCAATCTACTACACTAGGATGATAGAGGTGAGCGGTAATCGTAGCTGTGTATCGACACTGAAAGGTGCCACTGTACTGTACAAAACCACCTCCTTCCCCCTCGTCCTCTGCCCCTCCTCTTCCTCCCCTCACACTGAGAAGAATAAGTAGTAGAAGAAGTAGAAGAAGTAGAAGAAGTAGAAGAATAGTGACAAACAATGGAAAACTGCTTTCCATACATGCACCGCGATCTTTCCGAGGGACTGCGCATGTACACAAAGTCTTAGAAAACGCGCCCACTCCCCTACGCACGTTTCTGCAAGCTGAGCACCTGCCACTCCTCAGCGCCTCCTCAGCGCCTCCTCAGCGGCCCTCCCCATGGACGTGCCCTGCGGCACAATCTTCCTGTCCGACAACTGAGGGAGGGGGGGGGG